AAAAGAGAGGATGCTTGAGCATACCCAACTAGTACCTGCTGTCGTTCTGCAGCATAATCATTCATCGTCTTCCTCCCCCCCTCCCTCTGCATCGTCGTCTTCGTCCTCAGCGTCGGCCGCACCCAGTCGTTGTTGTTCCGGAGCCGGAGCCTCCTGTTGAGCATCCTCCTCGTCGAATATCATTGAAGGCACCGGCAGCATTGACTGTCTTGACAATGAATTCAGCATCGTCTACATTCTCCTGGGAATAATGTTGCAAACCTGCTCGATCGTCACCATCCGCCATGGCAGAGGCTATTTCGGAGTGCACATCAGAATCCCCTTCAGTACCTGCCATAGGGTCCAATTCTGGATTCATTCTTGAGGGCTGGGACGGTAACTCAGATAACAACGGTCTTGAACGATCAAGGACAAAAGTGGGCTTGGACGGTAACTGGCTTGGACAGTAACTGGCTAGGACGGTAGCTTCATGCAACGACAAGCAGCCACGACAGTAGCTACCTTGCTTCGACAGTAACCTTGCTCGAAGGACAAAACACAGCCTGGACGGTAGCTATCTTGTAGGCAAATACCTAGACAACCAGTCAAATCAACCACTCGAATCAACCAATAACCAGTCAAATCAACCACTCGAATCAACCAATAACCAGTCGATTTCAACCAATGGTTAAAACGAAGGCTAGAGGTTCCCCTTTTCAAGTATTGGTTGGCGAATTTATGAGATGAAACGGCAAGTTCGAAATTCGAAATCAACCAGTCGATTCAACCAATAACCAGTCTAATCAACCAGTCAAATCAACCAGTAACCAGTCAAATCAACCAGTCGAAAACGTCCTGGTTACTGGTTAACGGTTGATCAACCAATAACCAGTGAAGTTGACTGGTTAATGGTTGTGGTTGATTCGACTGGTTATTAACCAGTCAACCAGTAACCAAAACCAATAACCAAAATTACTGGTTAGCGAACCCTGGTTCTTTTCTCTCCATGTACGCATGAATACGTGGTAAAAGTAGACCTAGCTGTAAAAGTAGACCTACCGAAATTAGAATAGTCGACTCGAGTCGAGTCGGCAGTAGGCAGCCCGTTCTCTCTACGGTATGGTACCGGTAGCTCCTGCGATTAAATGATGCCTTGACTGTATCGCTTCGTGACTGCGCTTCAAAATTCAGCTCGGGACGTTCCGATGTTCCGATTATCGTACCAGTATCTGCTGGACCTCTGTGGAAACTCGAGTCGTGCTATCGATCGTCTCCTAAATTCTTTTTTTCGTCTCCTATTTAATGGATTTCGTCTCCTAAAAATAGGAGACGAAACGGATCGTCTCTTAAATCTTTCGTCTCCTCTTAAATCGTCTCCTATTTCCAACGGATCGTCTCCTATTCTCAACGGATCGTCTCCTAAGTGTACCATGTAAACTGTATGGTATCGTCGCCTAAATCTTTCGGATCGTCTCCTATTTCGAAACGATCGTCTCCTAATTGGAATGTCTCCTGCTGAATCGTCTCCTAAATATAGGAGACGATTGCTTTTGTCTCCTAAATCATTTCGATCGTCTCCTATGCCTCGGTGTATCATCTCTTAAGTATGTTTCCACGAATGACGTTTCCACAGAGGTCCAGGACCTCTGTGGAAACTCAAGTCGTGCTACTTTTCGTCTCCTAAATCCTTTTGATCGTCTCCTATTTAATGGATTTCGTCTCCTAAAAATAGGAGACGAAACGGATCGTCTCCTAAATCTTTTGTCTCCTCTTAAAACGTCTCCTATTTTCAACGGATCGTCTCCTATTCTCAACGGATCGTCTCCTAAGTGTACCATGTAAACTGTATGGTATCGTCTCCTAAATCTTTCGGATCGTCTCCTATTTCGAAATTTTCGTCTCCTAATTGTAATGTCTCCTACTGAATTGTCTCTTAAATATAGGAGACGATTGCTTTCGTCTCTTAAATCTTTTCGATCGTCTCATATTCCTCGGTGTATCGTCTCCTAAGTATTTTGCCACGAATGACGTTTCCACAGAGGTCCAGTAGGGATGGACCAACGACCAACCAGTACAATGGGCCAACCAGTACAATCTGTGCTTTATCATGAACAGCTCTGCAGTGTTCCTGAGTGCCACTTTGAAAACTTTTTACTGGTCTGGCCTCTTTTCTAGCTAGTGAATAGCTAGCCAAGCGCAACTTTGTTCTTGTTGGTCTATTCGTAGTGCAGGAGGGTGTCTCAAACCAACTCCAAATGATTGACTGTTCCCTCAACCACCGGAATTGTCACTTCAAGTGGCCAAAACAGATGGTTGAAAGCAGTTAAGGTCGGTACAGCGCGGTGGGAGGCGGTAAAAAGGTGGAAATATGGCGGTAGAACGGGCGGTAGAACGAGCGGTAGAGGTCGGTATAGCGTGGTTGAAGGTGGTGATGGTCAAAGCGTCAAGGCAGGAAGGTGGAGTAAGACATCCTCAGTTACAGTCAGTTGGTTTGAGGCACCCCCCAGGGTGCGAGTAGTTTCACGCAGGCTTGCATGAAACTAACGGCTAGTTTCACCCACATGAAACCAGCACTAGCTGGGCTTGGGTGAAACTATGTTCAGTCGTGCGTGAAACTATCAATCTATCTGCAGTACAAGTTTCACGCAGGTTGAAGATTTAAGTCCCATTTCCGCACCCTGCTGCAGAACTTTTGGGGGATCTGGAAGGCACGCCCAGAGATACTAGTACCCGAAAGAGCTACCGGTACCTGATGAAGGGCAGGAGAAAACGAGTCCAAGCTAACTCTTCCAACCCACACACTTGTACATCAATAATATATAATATCAACGCTACTAATAATGCTGCTAGAGCGTTGCCAGTTACTCGAGGAGGCTGTGCTTGGAACTACGAACCCAAGTCGTGATTGCTGTTCCTTCGTTCTGGTTTTCTCATCCCCATTCCCATGCCACGAGCCGACAACTTCCTTATTGGCACACTGGGTTTCTGATTGCGGAACTCTTTCAACGCACTTCGCTCGATATTGCCCATACTGAGAGAAGCTACAGTGCCTCTAGTTGGGGTTCCTCTTCGTGGTGGTGGCTGTCGCCGAAAGCCATGGTGGGGCATTGCGATAGACTCTGTTTCCTGTGCTTCGGTTCGCAGGTGGCGGAACGACGCCTGGCGGAATTGATCTTGCTTTTTCTGGGGGGTCCTCATGCTGCGCACTGCAGCCTTCATTTCGGCAATCACCGGTCCCCGAACGGAAGCTTGCCTTTCCAACCTCGCAAGGTCCTTGTCCCGAGCCTTTGCAACCATCTCAGCGGTCACAGCCTCCCCTTTGCGAGCCCACTCCTCCCTATTTTTTATTGCGTAGTTCAGGTATTCATCACTTGATACTCCAAAGACTCCACAATCCTTCAACTTCTTCGCAAGGGGGATGATATAAAAGTCAAAGAAACCAATTTCGCCCTTGTACCAAAACTCGGACGGGTCCTTTTCAGCGCGACCTGCACAGTATGCATTGAACATTTCATGGAACAGTCGCTCGTTCCTATGCACAACAGAATCAGGGGGGGTCGCTATTAGTACAGGTGATGCAACACACTCGGAGATGAGCAAGGGTTTCTGGACGTACCATTTCCTGTACACATGCCAATGTTGCATCTGAAAAAAGAAAAGAAACACCTTGTGAGCCAAAGATACCACAACAGAAGTCTCTTATCCAAAAGGGAGCACTTACGGTGTGCGAAACGTCCGAAGCTTGAATCAAGTGCTCAAGCTGTGGTGCGTGGTAGAAAAGGGGCGCTATCAGGGGTCGGTTGTGGCGCGGTGAAACAATGATACGTGCTAGGACTTACCACGATGGTCGCTTTGCGGTTGACTGCGTCGTGAACTTCTTTCTCTGTCTGTGGGACCTCTCCACTGAAGGCTTTGTCCCAGCGATTGTTTCTAAGCTGTTTGAGCTCTTTATCGACAATGTCTGCGAACAGAGAACCGGACAGCCTGTTAGCGCCACTTGAAGTGAGCCAAATTGTTTGGTGCGGCCGTGTACGTACCCGTTGCCATGACCGAGTTCACCAGAAGCGAGCGGAAGCGAGTCAACTCTGATTCATCACAATATATTGCACGCCTGAGTTCTTTGAATTGGGATTCCATCAACAAATCCCAAGATTGATCTACGCTGTTCTGCTCTGCCACACTCTTGTTCTTGTAGTACGCAGCGACCTTGGCGTTTTCTTTCACAAGCTGAGAGTTGGGAACACCCGTGTGGTCTGGAGAGAACGAGATTTTGATATCAGCCGCAGATTTCTCGAGAAAGGAAACAGTGACGGTCCTTGACTACGTACCAACGTCATGGATCAAGGCTGATAGGACGACAGCAAACTGAGTAAGTGGATCGCTAGTAATCCCATATGTGTGACTGGAGAAATAAATGTGCTTGGTTAGTTGCAGCCTCAATTGATTGGCAATTGTTGACAAGCAGGCATCACGCAGACAGGACTTACTCGTGCAGCTCGGCAGACATTTTCTCCGCGGATGTCATCTTTGTACGGTCCACAGCTTTGGGAGCAACAATCCGAGATAATAGTTTCACCACTGTATCGACAAAGCGGAGCAAAGTGAGCATTTTCCGTTAACGATGCAAACTGCTGGCTCTGTCACCCTTTCATTGGCTCGCTTACCGCTCATTGTGACATGTGAAGCATGCTGTGAACGTGAAGGCGTGATTAGCAAAAGCTGTTAGATCAAGCTTCTGCGCATGAACAAATCAAAGCTATCAGAGTGCATCTTCCGTACGCACCTCATAGTTGTGAAATGGATTGTCCCGGTAGTAAGAAGCAAGGGTGGAAACGTAGTCATGCAATTGCTCCTTGATCAGCGGATCCAATTCCATCTTTTCGGGATCCTCTTGCTTCTTGGCTGCAGAAGCGTCAAACTTTGGCAGCGTAATGATTTCTCGAACCTCCTCCAAAACCGTTTGGCCATCTGGTCTTTCAAGCTTGACCTCGTCATCTGGAGCACTCAATCCAAGTGCGTTCCGTCTCGCAATGACGTGTTTGAGCAACTTCGAAAGCACCTCGACGTTCCAGTCCACCAGGCGGGATTCTTTATTTTGCTTCTTCTCACGGGGACTCTTGAAGCTGCCAAAACCTGACATGGAGATTGCGGGAGGCTTCCTGCGCTTCGGCGCGCCCCTTGGTCCGCCTCGATTGCTTCCGCTGTTGCTGCTGCTTCCGCTGTTGTTGTTGTTTACCCCACGGCGGTTCGGTTTTTTTCTGATCAAGCCACCTTTGTCGCCTTCTTCCTTTTCCATCTCTACACTTTCAACGCTAGTATCGTCTTCATCGCATTCAATGATTGAATCAACGCCGCTCGAGACATTTCTACCAAGCATCGTAGGTGGGGGGACAACTTCCTCCTCTTCTACTTCGTCAGGATCCGAGCCCAAAGCCATCCAGAAAGTCGTCATTTCCCCCTTGCCTTTGGCTGTTACCTTGTCTTCTCGCTGACGCACCAAATGGGACTTCCGCATCTGAATCAAAATATCGGCGGTCTCCTCCGACATCTGGATCCTACCCTTCTGTCCGGTGCTTTCCATGCGGCTTGCGGTGTTCACGGTGTCTGACAGATTTGACGGCGAAAAACAGAGTTGAGCAACGCGCCACAACTTGCTCCACTATAACCCCCCGCTTTCCCCAGAAGCAAGTCTTACCGCCGAATAGTTGAAATCTGCTGCGATCTCCGCGAAGCACACCAGCAGTTACGGGTCCCTAATAAGAGCAGAAGAGTTTCTAGTTGAGGGGGACAATGCAAAATATTGAACCAGGATTCGCGTGGCCACTACGGCACCCAAAACTCACCGAATGAAGTCCGAACCTCATCGACAGTTCTAATAGACAAGGTTCGTTTTGCAGTGAGCACCATTGTTTGAAGCAATAACATCACTGTTGACTTTTCGTTTCTTTTGATCAACTGCTTCCGCGAGACCTACCTGCTGTGTCTGGACCCAGGTTAACCTCCAACTTCTTTGTTAGCTCGTAGCTCTTGTACATACAATCGCGAGCAAACCGGACCATGATGAGAGCATGATCGTCTTGGGGCTCTATCATTGGTAGAAAAACGAGAAAGATGTGCTGTGTGAGAATGTGGCTGTCGAAAAGCATCGATGGCGCACTGAAGATAGAACTACCAACCTGGAAGACCCGTCACCGCCACATAGCTATAATTAGAACGAGTAAAGTCAGGAATCAGGTTCTTGGTCTATTTCAAAAATTTGCCGACCCATTTGCGTACCAATCTCCCACTGTTTCCACTGTAAGGGAACGTAGGAAACAAGATTGTGAGGAGGAAGGATGAACAGAAGAAGGAGAAGCACCCAAGGAGGCTACCACGAACCTTTGAACACGTTGCGTTTCTTTGCAATGTCGTCAAAGCTTTGATACAAAGTCTCCAGGAGAGTGAACACTGCATTGTGTGGATGGTTTTTTTTAAAATGAAGCAAGGGGTAAGATGTACGAACTCTGATGAATAGCCAAGTTGCAAGTACTCTTCCAAACCAACCTTGAGAAGGTTCTCGGACTGACGCGGCGCAATTTTGGATGGGGAGAAGGTGAGTTGAGGCTACGCATCAAGCGAGCACAATCGGGCTCGGCAAATTGGAAGCACTTACCCGAACTCCATGCAGTGAAACCTTTTTCGAAACAGAGAATCGAAGAAAACGGTGAGCATCGTGCTCGCATAGTCTCCAGCGCAAGCAAAGTAAAAGAGATTTCTGCATACCGGCAATATCCTGTTGCAAAAAAGCAATTCGCACAAAGGTTAGTTGGAATCGAATCGAATCGAATCAGCAAATCAAACGACCAGATCGGTCCAGACAGGCATCAAACCCAACTCAACAACATACCGCAAAGAGAACTGTACAATTCGGGAACAAATCGGCAATGGGCGCACTGTATTGAGCCTCGTCCGGTGTCAATCCATTATCGAGATAATTTTTCAGCCGTTCACTTCCTCCCTTGAACATGGGGTAGCATTCCTGGCTCTCGTCCGCTCCGCCACCAGCACCCAATTCTTCGTCTGCCGCGGACATGATGGCAGCCGAATCCGACGCGTGGTTGTCTTTGAGACTTTCCCCAATATCGTCGAGACTGCTGCTGCCGCGTTTTCTGCTGTTGGACAGTAACTTTTTGACGGCCCGTTTGCTGCCGATGCTACTAATGCTGCGTTTGTTTTCGCCACCACTGGCGGACGTTGTGGACGACGCTAGGTCACCACCACCCCCCATGGTGTTGGCATCGGCCAACAATCGATCCCGAATCTTGGTGGGGAACATGCTTGCGACAATGGCATTGGATTTTGCCGCGGAGACTCCCAATTTGTTGTGACGTTTTTCCACCCAGTCATTGAGTTGTGTCATGCAGATTCCCATGGCGAGCAAAACGACGAAGGCCAGAGCCAATGGGACCATGGCAATGATGAGGATTCCTTCCATGTTGTTGTCTTGTTGTTGTTGTTGACTTTCCAGTGGTTCGTTCGCGAACTCAAGAGAGTAGGAACAGCTCCCATTTCCCGTTCCGGGCAAGGAGAGAATATCTTCCACCACGACCGCATCGGTATAATCATCATCGACAGTATCATTATCCACAACCGAAACGCCGCTGGCGGAGGACGAGGAGTTTCCTGGTTGGATCAAAAAGGTATAGTTCTGTCCACACGTATTGCGCAGACGCGCCCTGCCATTAGTAGTGGCACCAGGAAGGATTTGGGTAATGTAGTCTTGCCAATTGATGAGGACCTGCAAGAATCCCACAACCTCTCCTGCTTCTTGAACGCCCCCTTGACGATCCCGAATGGGTATCAGGAGGACACTGCGGGGATTTTGGTCTTCTTCTTCTACCAATTCCAATCCGTACAGGTAGGGTAGGTCGTCCAAGACGGGTGAAATGGCCGCCTGGGATAAGGGCAGGAGGGTAGTCACGTCCTGGTAGAGTTCGGCGATTGCGTCGTGCGAGAGTACATTGTAATTGATCTTGTAGGCTTCGGAGGGCGGAGGGGATGTTTGCCAAAGAGGAGCCAGAAAATTTGATTGTGTTGTGGAAGTAGCGGTAGAGGACTGATAAATGGACGGAGCGACGTTGCCCGGTTCGACGGTATACCCTAGAAAGTTCCAGGCATCTCGAATCCATGTCTGATGAGTCCATGCGTATTCGTTCCATTCGGATTCTTTTTGTTGCGTGGACGAGATGAGAGGAGAGAATGCCAGTAGATCAATTTGGGGTAGCATTTCTCGAATGGGCTGTCCTTGTATTTCAAAGAGCGGATTGGTGACAAAGGGCCAAGAAGCATTCTCGCTGCTAATGACTGTTTGGTGTGCCATGACGTTGGCAAAGCTTTGGAGGGATTGATGTAGAGTGCGTTGCTGCATGCGAACCGCGTTGCCGAGACTATGAAACGCATTATCCGACTAGATAAGAAAGAAGGAAGGAAAGAAAAAGATATGAGAAAATAATGGGAACAGAGAGCAGAGATACCACGATATTATCTCTCTCCATCCATCTACTAATATAAGTAGTAGTAACGTACCGTCTGAGTATTCTGTTGATCGCTTCGTTCTTGTTCGTCTCGCATGGCGACTCCTACTGCCGCCATGGCGACAATGGTAAGAATGGCAAGCACCCCCAGCAACAAGAATTGTACTATCCGTCTGATTTCAATGGCACTGGTTTCTTCTTGTTCGGCCGTTTGAATTTGCTCGAGTTCTTGGTTGGTCGATTCATTGTTGATGAGACTGGCACTGCGATGCGACGCGCCCATGGGATCGTCCTTGTCGGTATTAGTGCCATGAGAGGAACCATCCGGTGATTCACTATCGCTGCTGTTATTGTTGTAGTGGTCAGCTCGTCGGGCAATGGCGTTGTAGCTCATGTCGCGTTTCATCAAGGTCACCACGTCTTCTTCGTCGTCACCGCCCTTGCCACCGCGTGGACCTCGACGGGTGACACGGGGGAGCGACATCTTGGGCGATGCTGGAATAGCACCAACCACACCACCATTGGTTTTATTATGCAACGACGAGTTCAGCTTCGCAATGCCGTTCGCGAGGCCCTCAGGGTTCACGCTGTTGCGACGTAACAAGGAATCCTTCAGCGCCATGTCCGTCATGATTGGGAATATTATTATGTATGTATTAGAGAACCCAGAAAAGAAAGGATAACAATCAAGCTACTGGAGCCAGGAGAGGGTGGATGCAGAGGTATATACCCTTCTTTCTCAGTGCTTGTTTGACAACAGTTTTAATAACTTTCACTCTGCACTGAGCTCTGCACTTTTGATCAAGCAACTGAGAAGGATGATGATAGGAACAAAAGCTACGGTACAAAGCCCACCACGGTACACGGTAAACAAACTACTCAGTAAGTATGACTGCTGGCCATGCCTCTATGGCCCTAATCGCGAATGGAGAAGGTGGGTGTTCTTTCGATCTTGGTCTTTCTTGACCAATGGCCAGAATGAACTACGTGTAGCTTGTAGAGCTGGTGTAGCTAGCTAGTAGCTAGCGGCAACCAGTAGCTACGTTAATACGGTAGTGTAGACAGTAGCTACAGTGTAGACTACCTGGTACTGTACTGGTAAAGGCGTAGTATTATTCTCATTCAGCTCTAACCCAGTGCAAGACTAAACCAGAAGTGTTCGAACAAGGCATTTTCTGAAGGCATTAGCATCCTTCAGAAAGGGTTAGGAAAGCTGCATTTTCAGCTGTATCAGGTTTTAATAGAATGGAAAAAAGGAATTACAGACATCGCTCATCGATGAGACTGCTTGTCGCGTTCTAAAGTCTTTTTTGGCGGTACTGTAGACCGCTACTGGGAGTACAGCGTAGGAGCTCTGAGTAGGCCTGTGAGATGGACGGCTGCGGGCACCGCCTCGGAATTAACAAAAGTATTGAAGCTGAAGTGCCCAATGTCTTCGATAGCTCTTCCATTGACATCCATGTCTGGTTCGTTCCTTCATGACATAGCGCCACTCTAAGAGCTCGTTCATTCAGTCATATATCGCTCGTGGACTCCTTACTCAAATGCTGATACTGCTAAGACTGAAGGTTTCTTCTTTTTTGCGAAAAGAATTATCAGCAGGCATTGGCGAGAGGAGGAGAAACAGCCTTCAACCATTCACAGATGCGGTATGACATAATATTATGACATACAACGAAGAATGCATGGTGATCTGGCAAACTCTTACCGGAACTGTAGGTACTGAGCGGGATTGGAAAGCTTCTAAATCTACACTTACACAAATACCGGTACCGCAACGTTGTCCTTCCTTATTTTTTATATTGCTTCCTCGTCTGACATGAAGTACATGTACCCGACATTGTATGATGTATGATATGAGAGCTGACATGAGAAAGTGTGAATGATACTGAATGATCCAGCGATGATCCACCCAAGGGCACTGCTCTGAGCTTATTGATGGCACATTCATTCATTATTGCTTCCTCTTCCGCCTTCAAACTCTAACATGAAAGTGTGAATGTGTGAATGTTGCTGGATGATCCATCCCAAGACACTGCCCAGATAGTGTTCATGAATGCATTGTCATGCTCCATTTAGCATGGGCTTGATTTTGGGGTGTTACGTGTTACCAGATTGAATTGTTCATGGGCCAATTGCACACATTTGGAGCGAACCATGCAAACAAGATTGCTGGTGAAGTTTCACAAGTATGAACAATATTTAGCCAAGAATTATTGATGGGTCGAGTCGAGCCAGTCTGATAGGATACCAATGAGACCATACAATGCCATAGTCAAGCCAGGCAGAGCCTTTCCCTTTGTTTTGACTAATAAAAGGCACAAACTTCGTAAACCTGTTTCCCCGATTTGAAACAAACCGTGCGAACTGAGCTTGTCCTTCCCAATTCTTGTTGCTCAATTCTGTAGTGTTGCGGGGGCACTGTGCCTCCTTATTGGCTTATGGCTCATACGGTACTGATCGCTTACCTTGGGATTGCCAATGCAATCACACAAAAATTTAATGTACGTGCAGCCAGCTAGTCTTGTCAACGAGCCAGATAGACCCACGACACCCTGGTGACATGCTTATTATTTCACCTGGCAGCTCTCAACACTGCCGGTGGATTGAATGACAATACATGTACTCTCTACAATTACAGTATTATGAACCACCACCACCACGTGACAAGGGCAATGGAAACGAAGCATGGCCGGTTTGACCAATGAAGCTCTGCTGTCACTGTGTATCTTTCTTTTTAGCTTCCCAAGCGTAAAGTAAACTTTTTCAATAAAACAGCCCATCTAAGAAAGCAAAGAGCGAACCAGTGGTAAATGCACGGACAGATCTTGCTGCGTTCAGAACTGAGACAATCGAATCAACTCCGTTGTAGGTTGGCTGCAGACAGTTCTGTCCGAGTGATCCCGTTACACCCATACCGCTCTTGCTGGATTCGATTCGATCCGACAAAAAAAGGATGCTATGGCTCGTCAAACTCTACAAGTTTGGGAGCATCCTCTGGAAGACCGGTGATTGTATCGAATTTGTAGTGGTAGCGATGTTCGTAATGGGTATGTCGTGCCATTTGAATGGTGGCGCAGCACTGGCAACAGAACGTAATTGCGCAATCTTCGGCCGCTCCGTGACACCAATGACAGTACTGCGAGTTGATTTGGAAATGTCGTCTCATTTCGTAACGAGTTCTTGTATAAATGGTAACGGAATAGACAATCATACAAGGCACTGTCACCAACCCAAACAGCATGACAGAGCTGGCCCAAAAGCAGAGCATGATCAACACAATGGTGGCAAACGTTCCAGCCGCCTTGGCCGGATCCGGGTTGCCACACCAATCGAGGCCCAGTCGAGTCATGACCTGGGACAATTCAATGGTGCTACAGCAGGTGGCCATGATACACATCGGTGTGCATAAAATGACTTGGTAGCAATCGCAGAGTCCGTTCCTCCATCGTCCTTGTGGACCCAAATCATTGTTGCGGTAGCTTTCGCTGTTATCTAACGCACGGTCCATTCCAACGGCCTCCATCGCGCTGAAGCTGTCTAAGGTGTGAAGACAACCAGAGCAAACAAATCAGCGTTTCGGAGAGGGTTAAGCAGAAAGAGCGCAAGGAATGACCTACCCTTGTCGCTTTTAACAGGCATCTCGACTTCTTCATCCTTCTTATCGCTATCGAGAGTGACAGTCATCTCGGTGGTTGCTTCTAGCTAGATAGTAACTAACTTCTATGATACTTGCTACTCTTGGCGTTGTTGGATGCAGGAGTTGTTCTGCTTGTCGGCTTTGTCTGGTTGGTGCTCGCCTTCACATTTCCGATGAGTAACTGTTGACCTTCTGTTGCTGTTCTGGAAGCAGGCTTTGGAGTACAGTATAGGTAGATGCGGTAAAACATATTTTAGCATCACATACAGTAATATATCATCATATAACCATAACTCCATGTTTACCTAAGCTACCCATTTTTAAAAGCTGTCGAAAAAGACTTCGAATGTGAATCGAATCGAATCGATTTCTTCGAATTGACGATCAAAGCAACTTCAGCGTGATGGCTAAATACCGTACGGTACCAGTAACGGTACCGAGTACAGTATTCAAAACTAGCTACGGTAGGCCATTGAGTGGAGGCTGACTGTCACTCGATAGAAGTTGTTTGGCCTCCCTCTAAAATAGAATTGGTTTGGTCATGGTCGCCGAGATGCTTGATCACATCAGGGTTGCCCAGAACGTACATGCTCTTCCGTGAATGCTTACCACACACTAGCTAGCTCAGGACACAATGGCTGGTGCTCGTTATTACAATATCATACATAGCTGGTTCATTCCATGATAGTATCGAGCCACAGGGTCCGAACCGGTACATGTAACAGCAGTTTGTGAATTGCTTATTGGGTAGTGGTGTGGTGTAGCTAGTTGTCGTGCTTGGATACAATGTGAGGAAATTTTTCCTTGAACCAAGCTGGCTCCTCTTCTTCCTCGTCGTCATCGTCCTCCTCGTCTTCATCATCAGAGTCCGTTTCAACTACCCGATTTTGTGCTTCCCAGTTAATAGGCATCCCCTGCTGGTAACGCTGTAGCAGGTCACTTTTTCGGATATAGTCATATGCTTTTGCTTTGAAATCCTCTGCTCGTTCTTTAGGGAAGCTGTTGCTGTAAGGATCTGAAAATTGCATGTCTTGCAAGAGCCACTGCCTGTCTTGATTTCCCTTTTCTAGTAAGAACAGAAACCGGTCCACATCGCGACCATCCAATCGATTCAATAGTTTGGAACGTCTTCCTCCGTACATGCTTTCATCGAGTGCAAACAAGCAATCGGATTCCTGATGAAATTGTTCCCATGTGAATTGATGATAATAGTCGCCCCGACTGCGGAGTTCATCGTCTCGATCCACGGGAGGAGTCATGCTAAAGACACCACTCTTAATTTCCATTTCTCGTTTTTGGTCATCCATTTCATCCCTTTTGATGTCTTCTTCGAGACGTTGAAATTCCAGTTCGTCATGGTCGTTGCCGGGTCGAATGACACGGACCGATCGCAGACACGTTCGGTAGAGCGCTTTGGTCAGAAATGCGGCATCTTGTCGTAACGATTGGCGGAGGTCGGCTTGATTCTGCTCAAAATCGTGCAAATCCTGTTCTGTCAAACTCTTGGATACGGCAGCAGCGAAGCAACGCTTCGCCTTGGGAGCATGGATAGGAAGCCTACTCTGTGGTAGAGAACGAGGCGAGAACCGAGCTACATGGATAACCAAAGCTGACATGATCCAAACTTAAGTTGCTGTTGATTCCTCTTCTAAAGTACCAGTATGTGCGATGGGTGCGATCTTTTGATGCTGTGAAGCTGCGATTTTGGATCTTTCGATCTTTGGGTTTGGACAGGCCTGCTGGCTTTTTCCGTCGAATGATGTGTTGCGTCTACCGGTACTGATGTCGCGCGAAGGAAAGGAAGATGAACGACGACACCAAGCAAGCCTTTTGAGATCCCTGAGAGCCTCAAGCCTCGTTACATGCGATGATTCGGATGGAACGATGAGTTCGTTGGCAAAGCCTTGGAGTCTGTCTCCAATTCATGAACTTCAAAGAGCGATTGGAAGACTGGGATGCGACGGAGCTGTCGGCGTCATTGGCAGTGGACTTGATGTGGCACCCACACTTGCTTGATGGGAAGCCTTGCATAAAGGCTTCCACCGACTAGTGTGGACTTGTCATTGAACACGATCCCGATGGCGGTCTCGACGAGGCGACTATTGGCAAACGAGTCAAGACGACCAAGATTTCGTTGAAAAATCTCGTCGTTTGGTGCTTTGGTGGAGACGACGATGATGATCCTGGAGAAGTGAAGAAGGAAGGAATCGAGCCACGAATCGAAGTCCAAGACAACACAGTTGCGATGAAGCCACGAATTGACGATCACTGGAGGGTGCGTCAAATTTGAACCAAAACCCACTGGAGATGTATCACGCTCGTCTCGAGCGGCTTGCCTTGCTGTCATGTCATTTTTTGCAGAGGAATCAAGGAATAAACTCGGAACCATGTCTGATACTAGACCTAGCAAGTCAAAGAAAACGCCAGCCTTGAGCTTCACACTACAGCGCAGTCGTAGGTACATGGACGGTTCATGTTGTCTGGAACCGCGACGATACGAAACGTATTGATGGGTGGCATTCGAAGAGTTCCGTTGCTGTCTAGCTCGATTTGCCATTGCACGACGTACGCGACTCCTCAGAAGCTTCTTCGGCTGCGTAACCTGCCATCTTGTTTGATTGTTCCAGGACATGACAAACTCCTCCTCTGCCTGGCTCCGAGTTCAGGGCTTGTGTGATGTTTTGGCCGTTTCATTGCGCTGGATCATGTGACTGGGAAGTCAAATCTTGCCAGGACTCAAAGATCGCGCCGCTAAGTCCTTTCTTTCCTCACTCTTCGAACAAGGACAGCTACAGCTGGTTTCTTGTGTAGAAAAATCTCCCGGCAAACTGGGAATCCAGGTCAGTCGTGCAAACCTGAGGCAAAGCCGAAGGTGCACGGGTGACCGTGGATTCAAGCCCGAGGCAGAGGCTCAACCAAGGCAGAGCAGAGGCTACAGGCGAGAGGCGAAAGGAAGGCCAACGGCCTGGAAAAGCCGAAGACGATGCCGAGGTTGAAGCCGATGCCAAGGGCGCCAGTGAGGTGGGAGATCTTTGTGTGTAATCTACCTGACAACATGCCGAGGAAGAAAACATGGTACTTGTAACAGGAGCGCCATGGTCGGTTGTCGAGTTGTGTTGTTGTTTTGTTGTTGTTGTGTTGTTGTTGTTTGTTCTCGCTGGACTGTGTAGTACAGTTTACCACGGAGTCAGTCATGTTTGGATTAAGTTTCAACGGCTAGTAAGTTGTCCTGAGATTACTTAAGAGGCAGAAACGGCTGAAAATCCAACAGTGGATTCTCCGTGATACTACTACTGGGATCTTACCCGCCAATTCCCACTCAAGAAAACGGCTGAAAATCCAACAGTGGATTTTACCCAGTAACTACTAGAAGAGTAAAACTTCCAATCAACTGTCTCCTTATACAAACCTGGGAAATGGCACTCAAAATCCATTTGGAAGCTTAAATCTTCAGAGTGAGTTCTCATCAGAATCCAATAAAGTGTCTTCTAGCAAATAACACGGGGATTCTGGCCGTTTCAACCCGCCAAAAAGCCTCACTCGTAGAAAATGTACTAGACTCTACGAGGGCGTTGGCGGGTGGATTACCTTCAAATTTCTTGAGCGGTTGGACTTTTCATTCATTTGCTTCTTCGAGGCAGAGACAGATCACATCAAGCATTCAAGCATCAAAGATAGAGAGGCAACCATGGCGCCACCACAACCAGTAGAAGTAGAAGCACAGCCACAGCGAGAGGGCGCTTGGTACAAGCAGGGGGCCATCCCTTTGGGGTCGTGCATTGGCGGTATTTCGATCTATCTTCATTGGTCCTTCTTTGCCCTTTTGGGCATCATGCTTATTTCAACATTGCTTTCCAATGCGTCCGATGGTAACTATTGGCTCCTGATCATCTTGCTTTATGGACCCATCCTTTTGGTTACTATCATCCTTGTGAGTGTACAGCAACGATTTTTGGAGCGTGGATCCAGAATCTCCTTTCCTGTTTGGTCAGATCCACTTTTTTGGCAAATTTGGTTCTTGGTTCTCTCATTCCTGCTTTTGACCTTTCTCCGAACTTCACACACACAAAACACAGCATGAATTCGGACATGCCTTCATGACCAAAGCACTCGGTAAGTTTTTTTGGGAAACTTGCATAGACTCTGCGCCTTTTGGCGTTGTTGTCGTTCTGTCGCGTCTGATGCATTCAATCAATCTACTATTTTCATGCTGCTTCAGGCGGACAAGTGGGTGACATGGTCCTGTGGCCTTTGGGTGGTTTTGTCATTTGTGGTCCCACAGAGACGGTAGCTGGGGACTTTTACGTGGCAATAGCGGGACCTTTGACCCATATTCCTCAATGCTTGGTTTGGTTTGGCATTTTTGCGGCTGTGGAAGGAGGCAACTTTGAGAATTTTGGACGTTTCTATGACAGCGACATGGACTTTGGGGCTGCTCTGACGTCCCAGGCCTTTTATCTGAACGTGGTCTTGTTCATCTTCAATCTCTTTGTCCCTGCCTACCCACTCGATGGAGGTCGTTGTTTGGCAGCCGGGCTGGTCCTGTGTGGCTTGTCTGTCCTGAACGCGGCAATGGCCACGGCAATTATTGGAATGGTGATTGCCATGGCATTCGCAGTTTGGGGAATTTTCGATTTCATCAACGGGTCGCCCACGGGAATTTTTACAGCTGCCATGGGTGCATGGATCTTTATGTCTTCCTACGGTCTATTCAAGTTGACGCGACCAGCTTCTGGAGTCTACGGCGAGGTGACCGACAATCTGAAATCCCACCCAGTCTTTGGACAAGAGTGTTACCAAAATCGAGCACGTGGTGAAAACAACAATACTAGTGGCAGCAACAATGCGTGAGAGGGAAGAGCAGAAAATGGAATACCATCAGACCTCCTGAAAAACTGAAAAGCCGAGACGCCTGTCAGGGCGAGTCGAGTGACTCGACAATCAATGCAGTACTACTAGGGTGATTCGGGCAAGTCGACGATCATCAGACACAGTCCCAAGGAAAAATCCAGACACAATAATTAATGCATCAACTTTCATGACGAGCTGTGTAGTGCCAAATGGCAGTTGCGTTTCAATTCAATCCAAGCCAAGGCACCATCACTGTTACAGCGCGAGCAAGCTGAGATTGCGACCTCCCAATGGTTCTGGTCCCAGGTTTTGGCAATCATGCTACACAATTTTAATTAAAAACAATGTAAGCCAAAGATTCCACTTCTTCAAACCGAGTTGTCCCTGTGTGTAGGCAAGCTTTCTTCACTTGCAAGCGAGAACTATGCGAGTTGAAGCGGATCCACACGTACACTACGTCGAATTGTTTGTTTTCAATTCGTTGGAGTAACTTTGTCGTATCCGAAGGCCCAACATCACGAGGGCTGCCAAACTGGTCCAAAGAGCCAAATGGAGCCAGCTTCTTTGCGACCATTTCCCGGCGACGTGCAGGGTCACCGCCCAAGATGGCCACACGCTCGTGGGGCAAATGCTTGGCAACATATTTGATCGAATCATTTTCTGTCACGGTGATCTCTACCGTGTCATCGTAGAGGGATTCCTCGGCTTGATCTAACTCTGCTTCTCGTGCTGCCTCTTGTTCTTCCCAAGCATCCAGGATGATTTGCAACTTGGCCCGTTCCTTCGTAGCTCCACATCCAACACCTAATCTGATGTCTAATGCCTCTATCCGCTCAAGAGCCTCCCACACTTGATCTTCTTCAACTGTAGTTGGTTGGACATTGTCCCTGCTACCAAATAATAAGCAAAAATGATCACGTCCCGCTTGTTGTTGCCGTACATGTTCGAGAGGCGTGGGTGAAAGGGCCAAGGCACCAGCCTCTTCAGCAAGGATCCATGCGAGGGAAAAGATCCAACGAAGAAGTCTTCTATCAGCTTCCATACCAACAACCTGTTGTGGTTTCGGGCATTCTCATCTCTGTCAACTCTCACCTCTCGCCTCCATTCTCTTCGGATCCATCTCTCCTCTTCGAAGACCTCATCCATCACCCAAAGCTGAAACTGACGTCATCTCATGAATGACAGCTTTGCTGGATTTCCCAAGCACGTCTGCAAATCGGAGGTTTCAACATTCTCAGGCTTGCCTAAAGTTGGCCAATACGACAACCTCCTCACGGCTCCACCCTTCAAGTATCGAGCAATGGATGCCGCAACGCAAGTCACCAATCAAATCTACATCGGGCCATTGTCGGTGGCGAGAGATCGGAAAGAATTGAAAAGACTTGAAGTCTCCGCTGTGGTGTGCGCAGCCGCCGAAGGACGATGCTTCTTCCCTGATGAGTTCGACTACTGGGAGGCGCCACAACTGGCTGAGCATTCCTGTGACATCATAGATATTCTCGATCTGATGAAAGACCTGTGGGACTTCTGTGAGCCAAGATTGCAAAAGGGAGAGAAGCTGTTCTTTCACTGCGTTCATGGGCGCACCCGGTCTGCCACGATGCTAGTGTACATTCTTTCCAAAGGAAGCAAGAAAAGAGTCCTCGAGACGTACGAAATTATCCGTGCAAAGCGGGATGTCTTTATACCAGAACCATGGCTTCAGGCAATGCAAGCCAAGCTAAGTCAGCATGAATCGCTACCTATTCGTGACAGTACTGCAGTCCACCCGTCCTCTTGACTTGCCGCGGGCTCTGCCGGTGTCACTGGCTCCAATACTGTAAATATGTGCTTTAGGTTCACATTTAATGTAGTTAAAGGAATGTATGATGGAAAGACGTGAGATGGTCTTGGCTCTGCTTCGATGATCAAAGGCGTCGATGCTTGGGATTCTTCTGTTGTTTCTTCTTGTCGTATTTGCCATCTTTGCGGTTGTTGATATTTGAATGCCCCCAGCAGGTCTTTGAGAAGCCAAAGTTGTCATTCAAAGTCTTTTGTGTCTTCCCCGTATCTTCAATCTTGATCTCAACATAGTTCATGGTTGGGTGGTTCTTGGCAAATTCTCTTACATGCTCAGTGTGCCAGTCATAGAAATCAGTCCAAGCTGTTTCATCTGTCTCTGTGGCATTTGGAAATCCATTGCAGTTGCGCTTCCAACGACCCAAGATGTTTGACCATTTCCTGGCTGACAGGTACCACTTCTTGGAATCTCGTGTGGTGTGTAGAATAGTGGCATATGGATGGTCCTTGTACATAGCCTCCAAACCACCATCAATAGTCGGATAGAAGCATTGGTCCCCAGGTCTCAAGACACCAAAATCAGACCAGTGCTTCTGATCCCCACAGTTCTCCAGCATGGGCCGATTATTTCGAAGGTTATCATGCCAGCATTCACCTACTGTGACAATTTTACCAGTGTCAGCGTATGCAGTCCACTGGTGGGAACCTTCTGAGGAGCCCAAACCACAGTTGAGATAGTCATGGGAAGTACTTGTGGCGCTCTTGGGTAGCGATGCAACAAAGACTGGAAATGTGATTTCCTTTGGCAACCCTGGCTTGACAGCAGTACCTACCCAGCATCTTGGGGGGATTCCCAGCTCATCTTGGAGCATGGAGGCAGTCTTTCCTGATCCAATAGTCATGTCCACTTCAATATACGTCACGGAAGGGTGTTTTGCCACGGCTTCCCGTAGTTTCTTTTGATACTTTTTGTAAAAGTTGATCCACGCCTCTTTGGGGGCATTAGCTTTAGGAAAGACAAATCCGTGATTGGCATTACACCATTTGAACCAACGCTGCTTCTCTTGGGGCGACAGGGTCTGGTACCATTCATCTGGGTCTCGGACAACATTGAGCACTTTGGACATTGGGTAGGCCTCAAAGAGCTGGTCCAAGACCTTGGGTTGCAAGGCTGGGAAGAAGCATTGGCGCGTTGCCTTGACAGCAGTATGTTGATGGTGTTTGACAAATTCCATTTCAGACCACACACGGTAGTCGCCACACCCATTCAAAATGGCTTTGGGACCCAGGCGCTTCCGGTCGTTTTCCTTCTTGGGGCTCTCAAGGTTATGCGTCATGCATTCACCAATATATTCATATTGGCCCTTTCTGTGATCCACAAAAGTGCGCCCAAATGTATCTGAATCGAGTCCGGCACAGCGAAAGTATCGGGTGAGGGCCACATTGCCATGGTTGGCAAAGCTAAGTACAAAAAGAGGGGTGTCCACTGTGATGTTATGAGACATTCGAATGCGACTCTCAGGTTTGGTTGTTTCTGCAGCTGAGGTGCTCTTGTCGTTTTTCTTCTTGGGAGAATCCTTAGGCTTGTCTTGTGGTTCGTTGCTCTTTTCCTCCTCCTGATGTTTTTGTTTTTGCTTTTCTTTCTGCTGCTTTTCTTTCTCCTTTTCATCTGCTAGACGTTTTTGTTCCTTGAGTTTTTGGTCAATTGTCCATTGGTTGGGTGGTTTTGAGTCTTCGGGTGTAACAACCACAACAGGTTTGCGTGGTTGCTGTGGCTTTGGAGTGGTTCGTTTCGCTTCATCAACATGCTTAATGGGTGGAAAAGTTGCAATAGAGGGCTTCTTTGGAGGTAGCTTGTTACTTTGTGGCATCTTCTCAATCATTTCCTTGGCATCCTGAAACAGTTGCTGGTGTGTTGCCATTCTTAAGTTCTGTGTCGTCTCAACTGCCTCCATGTTTCGTTTATCGGCTCGTATGACATCTCCCCATTGATAGAACAAGCCAAAAGCAAAGGCATAGATGGCAAGACCAAATGCCAAATGCACATGCTGTTTCCTTCTCCAGCCACCCATGTTGGTGGGAGCATCTTCACCGGTTGCGATGATGGTCTCCTTGACGTTGAGGCCATCCTCTTCTTTCATTGATTCTTCTTTGATTGGCTGCAACATCTTGGCCGTACTTTCTTTCTCTGCTTCCTTGGAGTCTTCAAGCTTTGTCTCTAGCTAGCAAACCGTGCCTTTGGATTTGTGAAACTTTTATGATTTTCGTTTGCTTGGACCACCACCCCCGTCGGATAGCTGTGACGAAGTCGTCGCTCGGATAGCCATGGGTACCAACAGCCCAAAAAGTGGCCCTGGTTTCACGGCTTCCTCTCGGGAGTGAAAGATACGGTCATACGGTCCCTCCCAAAGTGCCATTCTACCCCAGATCCAATTTACAATCTAGCTAGCTAGCTTGCTCTGGCTAGCTGGCTAGTAGCGCTAGTTGCCACAACTCTTCGCCACCATGTCCAAAGCAATTCCACCGATGCGTTGTTTGACGGGTCTAGAAAGCTATGTTCTCCTGGGTGCCTTTGGATGGTGCGTCGAGATAATCTTCACTTCAGTCATGGACTGTCTCGTTCTGCAAATAGCAAAAGATCCATGGAAGCTCGAGGGAAATACATACCTCTGGATGCATCCAATTTATGGGGCAGGGCTCTACCTTGGTACTTCAACAATTGTGCCTCTGGTTCGTGACAAAACGCCCCTGCCTCTGAGGATGCTTCTGGGTGTCGTTCTTTGTTTTGCTATTGAATATGTTGCCGGCTGGGTGTTGAGAGCAAGTACCGGGGTCTGCCCTTGGGATTACACACAGGCGGATTGGAATGTGCATGGCCTGATCCGCTTGGACTACGCACCTGCCTGGGCGGTGCTATCTTATCTGGTAGAATTTCTCACGGACGTGCTCGATAGTGTTCGTTTGGTGGCTCCAACTAGAGAGCAGCAAAAGACGGAACGAAAGACGTCCTAGCTAGAGCTTGAGAATTAGTCATCTGCAGTATTAACAAACGGTTCCTTTCAGCCCCTCAAAAGAAAGTAGCAGAAAGGACAATGTTGCAGAGCTCTGTTTTGCCCGGCTGTTGCCCGTCACAACAGAAATAGCCAACTTCACAAACCAAGCGTACCACAGCAAGGGCCAGTCCCAGAGTATCGTGGAAACCCAACCAAATAGTCTCCCCCTGAAGATAACCTTTCCGAGAATGTCCTCTCGGTGGATCCAAAGTTGCCCCGGCGCATACAACTGCGCATCATCGACACGGTTTTCTTGGCCTTTGGTGCGGAAATCTATCTTTTCGCCGTCCGAAGATTGATGGATTTTGACGATGCGATGTGGCAATGGGAGGTACCCACCCTTTCCTCCAAGATAGAATGTCACTAAGTCACCTATTTGAACGTTTGTACGGTTCGACAACAACAACACATCACCCCTGTATGGTGCATACCACATACCTCCTGATTCGCAAGCAAGGATTGGATGAGGCGTGTCGAAGGCCACCATAAGAACCTTCCAGATCATAAACGGCAGACACACTGCCATTGCAAGACGCATGGATCCACGTAAGAGGCGTCGCTTGTGGAGTAATGATCGTTCGAGTCTTTGTCGGAGTGACAGCGCTCGGATCTTCCTTTTTGGACGACCATGGCGTAACGTTGAGAGGTGGCGAAACAATTCGGCCAGTGTCATTCTTCCTAGTTCGTCCACTCTCCTTCTGTCGCCTTCATCCGATCTCATCTCTCATGAAACTTGAACGACGAATATCGTGCTATCTTTTAAAATAAAGTCTATGGTCTCCATTGCTTCGAAGGTCGAAAGGGTAAACGCCACGAGGCAATTTCCCAGTCGTGGCTCGGGGTCGACACCGACAACTCGCTGGAAAGGAAGAGAGAAGAAGGCCCAAAAGGATGCAACAACACCATTCTGATACGAGCTAGACTGGTACTTAGGAGTACTCGTTACAAACCAGAGAACTGCGGTGGGACACGAGCCGATTATACTTTCGCACAGTCAATCAGAAACATCAGAACATCAAGCCCAACTTCCATCAGACTGGTCGGACCATCACTGGCGTTCGCAAAGGAACTATGTCGCTTGGAATTGTCTTGCCGGGTGGGGCCAGACCAATCCGGGCAACTTGACTGGACAATGGCTCGGTGGAGGAACATCCATCTAGTTTCTTGCTCAAAGGACTTCGCAAAGCTTCTCTGCTGTGACGTCATCTCCTGCAAGATCATCGAGAATACCTGTCAAAGCATTGAGCTGCGCTTCTTCCATGTTGTCGTCTTCGTTAGCGCGAACCCCGGCTGTACCGACCGCACGTTCTGCCAGACGTAAAGCAGTCTTGCAGCCCACATTCCCTAGCCGATCAATGATCAAATCGGCCATGGAATCTGCGTTCGCGACAGCAACGTCCAAGCTATCCGCAAACAACTTTCGTAGGCTTTCTGCTTCCGAGAGAAGAGGCACCACCAACGTTTCGTCGAAGATCTCATTGAGGACACGACATGCTGCGTCAGATCGCGATGTTGCGGCAATGATCCGGAGTGTCTTGCCTCCTTTTTGCCCTCGCTTGGATTCAGATTCGCCTCCAGCTTTGGCTGTCGAAAAACTGTCTGGGGGAGTGCGAAGCAGCGCTCTCAAGGTTGCCAGCATCACGTTGCTGTAACCAGCTGTGCCTGATCCCGCACAGAGTTGATCAACGTCATCCAAAACCAGCATCGAATTTGACATTTCTCTGGCTTCTGCGAACCGCTCCACAAGGGCCGCCGCCCTTGCTTCATCGCCGCCTCCTCCTTCGACAATCAAGTCTAGAGCGGTGATGAAACGAACATAGTCAGTACCACTCGAAGAAGCTTCAGCTGCAGCCCAAGCAGCCAGAGCAGTCGCACCAGCGCCTCCGCTATTCCCTGCACCAACAAGAAGCACGGATTCCAATCGAGGCGACTCTCTTGGAACGGCTCGTGGCGTTGTAAAACGTTCGAGGTCTCGCATTATTCGTTCCATAGATGATGAACATGGGGAAACTCCGAGTGGGAACCTTTGTCTCAGCACTTCATCTTGCTTACCAAGCGCCGGCAGCACCTCTTTGAGACTTCTTTCTAGGTCAGCAACAGTGATGATGCCGTCATTGTTCACCTCTTGCACGGTCCGAGCAAGAGCGAAGCTAGCCGCGCTTCGAACCAGTCCAGCAAGTTCGGCTCCACTGTAGTGTTCGGTTCGAGCTGGTGTTCCATCGTCACTCATATCTTCTGTAAGCGCAATAGCCTCAGCACTCAAGGCTCCCGCTTCATTCATCTGTCGTGTGTGGATTCGCAGAATGTCTCTCCGACCGGCAGCATCGGGCAACTCGACCCGCAATTGCACTTCCAGGCGCCCAGGTCTCAACATGGCTACAGGAAGAGCGGAGACAAACAAGTGAGAATCTGCCTAGAGAGCAACGCACCCAGCACAAGCAATAATATGGATAAATGTAACTTACCTGGATCAATCAGCTCTGGCCTGTTAGTCAAACCCACAACAAGGACGTTGTTGGCTTCTTTGATACCCTGTCAGTCAACGCAGGTTCAAGATGATGAGAGACTAGTGTCTTGTGGAACACATTAATCGTTGTCCAGAACTCGACCTGAAAACTTACGTCCATACAACTCAATAGCTGATTTACAACCGAATCCCTGACGCCTGTTGTATCTGACGACACAGTCCCTCGCTTCTTTGCAATGGCATCCATTTCATCCAGCACAATAATATGCAGTGCGGAGTCATCTCCCACCTCGGCATATTCTCGCTGAGCAGGTATGAACAATGCCCGTACTTTCTTTTCAGCCTCGCCTATAAATTTGTCGAGAATTTCGGGACCATCTATAGCACACAAAACCCAATGTAATTGAGCCATGTTCTCGTCGCTTCATGCGCTCTTCGCTTAGCATTCCTTGTGTTCACTTACTCACGATCTGAGGTTCTCGGGCATCCAAGAGACGTGCCAACTCTCTGGCTAGCAAGGTCTTTCCACAGCCTGGAGGCCCCGAGAGCAGAATCCCGCGGACATGACTCACCCCCAGTCGACGAGCCGCAGCGGGATTGGCCCGAGAGGCCAACACACGACGAGCAATGGCATCAAGTTGTGCATCCAATCCTCCCACCTGATCAAACGTCATTCCTAGTGCTGATTGAATGTCATTGCCCGCTTTTTCTTCAGCCTCTTCCGATGACTGGTTTGAGGCCACGGTAGCTTCGTTGGTGATTGTCGACTCAGTAGGCAATTCGGGGAGAGTATCTTCTTCTTTCTTCGCGGAAGAGTCTGGGCTGTCAGTGGCTGTTGTTGTTGGTTTTGCCTCTACTGTTGATGCTGTCTCCTGGGCAGCCGTTTTTGTCGAAGTAGAGTCCACATCCACCACAATCTTCTCCAACTCTTGGGTTTCAGCCGTTTCCTCTGTCTCTTCCTCCTCCTTTAGCATTGGAACTACTACAAAGATATCATCCATATCTTCCTTCAACACATCCGCTTCCTCCAATGCCTCATCGACACTAATGGGTGGCCTGACAACGGCTTCCAACAAGACCGTCTTGCCAGACTTTGCATAATACTGTCGAATGGGTCCTCCAACGTACTTTACGCAGTCTTCTCCACCGGTGGAACTTCCTCCACCTCCGAGTCGTCCATCGGAGCCGCCTCGAAGATCCTTTGTCGTGGCTTTTCGATTCAGATTGGATTCTCGCAGCATGGCCACTTCAGTGACACCAATCAGGGGTTTGATCACGGACCAAGAACCCGTGGGCCATCTCCCTCTCCAGTAACTAGCTTGTGGCAAGACATGAAGAATGACGTCCCAATCTTGTCCTCCTGCCACTTGTATTCTACGAGCCTTGTTGATACTGGTTGTTGTCGATTCGTCGTCGTCTTCCTCGTCGCTCATCATGGCATCTATGGCGGGAATGCGAGGCTCGTATCGTTCCAGCAGGGTATCAAAGACACCTGGCTGACACCGTATTTCATTGACCCGATCCATGAGGTCGACCAGCAACTCTTGATTGCACCATGTCCCCCATTCAAAGCGAAATGGATCGTGGCTCATGCTGGTCGTCACAGCATTGCGTTGAGAAGTGGCAGCGGCAGTGGCTGCAAACAACGGCTGCAAGGGCCCTGGAATGTCATCGAGAATGGGACTTTCGGGACGTTTTTCGTCAATGGCGTCAGAAGAAGAGGATTGTTGCAGTATAATCGGAGGCGGGCATCTGGATCTTTGTGTAGTACATGTGGTATGAGAAAGCGGAAGAGATTTCGTTGATGAAAAATGCGAAGGAGTGAATGCCGATCCTTCAAGCAGCAGGCAAACCACCAACAGAAAAAGAGACGAGGAGATAGAATGCTGTTGAGCCATTGTCATGGTCAACAAAGGCTTCTTTCAACAGCAATGAATTGGCAGCCAGCTATCTTGTAGAGGTATGCTACCGATAGCATGCTTGGAGATGGCAGCCATCAAGGACAAACGACATAGATGCTCCAGCTTGGGAAGAAAAATGAGCAGACGCCAGGATGCGTGCGTCATTATCTCTATCTCTAATGAGGCTTAATTAATAAAGGAACACTGAAGAAGTTTCGCATGGAGTCCCCCGGTCTACCAGGTCCCGTGGTACCAGGTACCGGTACCGGTACGATGTAGCTGTCGCAGGGTTCTCCAACCGTTGTGTCCGAAGAAGATAAAAACCCAAGCAAGCTGCATGGCAAAGCAAAAAGGGACGAACGCACAACACAAACAACTCAGCTGTTGGTTTGTGAAAGAGGATTACGATACAAACATACTTACTTGTTCAGTCAGTACGGTAGAGTGTCGACGATGGGTGCCTGTACGGCATGTCGAGCTGCCAAAGTGAAATGTGATCAGAGTTTTCCTTGCAAGCGTTGTGAACGTCTTGGAAAGACTTGTATTCCTCATGAATCGAAACAAGGGCAGAATCCGGCACGGCTCCATAATAAGCGAAAGCTAGATGATTGTCCGTGCCCCGTCGGGACGGCAGAAGAGTTAAAATTCGAATGTGCCATCCTGAAAAAGAGCACGGGAATGGTCCGGAAGGATCACTATGCCTTGAAGCATTTGGTTCGAAAGTGGATCGCCATGTCCCTCAAGCGTCGGTCTTTTACGCTGTGGTCTCGTGCCGGTAGTTTGGCCGTGGCCTGTGGCATGTCCATGGATGAAGTACTCTGTGAAATGAATGAAGAACAACGAGGAATGGATTTCCTCCATCAACTGATCACCACTCCGTCAGCAGACCAAACTCTCATTGCCAAAACACCCCTGACGGCACAAGACATTCCAGAGAAGCTATGGAAGGCCGTCGGCATGCCGACGTCACCGGAATCGATGGAACAAGCTCTTCAATCTCGTTGCTTTTATGTGATGGAAGTAAACAAGGGTGTTCTTCGATACTACGTGTCTCCTGCGTTTGTCGAAAACGTTGGTATCAATTTGCAAACGATTGAAGAAACCTATCGGGCCAACAATGTGGAAGTTATGCAACTTTTCCATGCCAAACCAAAGGGTCCAAAAGAACAACACTACATGGTAAGCTTTGCCCAGCAGTTGGCGCTGCATAGCAAACCCGACATACGTCCAAAGCCTACCAAAGTGAAAAACGTCAGAATCATGGTGGGAGACGATAAGAAAGAAGTAATTGTGGACCAGTTGGTGTGTTTATACGTTCCCAAACTGGATGTATCGTATAACTTGACAGAGTACATCATTGATACCAACGACACTCTACTAATGACGAAGAAGAAGACAGGGGCTCATCCCACGGTCTCCATCAATAACAACGACATCAATCCTCAAGCAGAAGCTTCCTATGAAGCTCCTCCCTTGACGGATTTGCCGGACTTTTATTTGGACCTCAATTCCGTGGAAGGAGGCGATGATGATTTCAAAACCATCCTCGATCTTTTGCAGCAAAGCTAGCTATTTACATATTATTAAAAGCAGGCGTATCCTTGGGAACAGTGAAGAGTTTATAAAGGTAAAAATTACAAGATTATTCAGCCTCCATGTAGCTAGTTTTGGCCTTTCACCAACAACAATTCTTAGCGACATACATCTCGATTCACAAGAGAGAAAAATCCCTCTAAATGGATAGCAATTGTGCGCTCAGAAAGCAAGAGCTACCCGACGAAATATTGTCGTTCTGGCTGCACACTGACTGAACAGTCTTCCAGGCACACTGCCGGGCCTGCATCCGCATATCGCTGCGGATGAACACAATGATTCTCAATCGAACCATCTGGCACTTCGACGGCCACCTTGACGCCAGCCTGCGAAAGAATGTGGCCATCGGGATGAATGAGGTCGCAAGAACAGCCACAGTGTTCCAAGATCTTGGTTGGGCAAATCCCGCCACAGCAGCCACATTCGAATGATCTGCTGCCATTATTATTTTGATGACGACGGTGTCCCAGTTGGTTCACGGGAGTGCCGCTGCTCCGGGGTCCAGCTGGATGTCGAGAGTTGCCCGCCCCGGCAACTCCAAAACCTCGAAACTCGGGATGCTCGATTGTGGCTGCTGCCGCGGTGAGTGTGGGAACACAATGGGAGCGGGATAAGGGTGGTCCATGCTGTCGTCTTTGTCTTTGCCGGTGATGATCATTCCCTGCTCGCAAGGAGGATTGTTGTTCCTGCTGGAGGCGACACACAAAGTAGCCTTCCGTGCCCCATGGAGTGACACAGGCTTCGGTATGTTCCGCGTCGCACTGGGGAGGTTGCAGAGGTCCCGCAGCATGATTGGGCACCAACTGTCCTGCCGCGGTCTGGAGCACAAGGAGGGATGCCGATATCAGCAACACACCTTTCATCGTGATCATCTATCTCGGTTCGTTCAATCTATCAATCTACTCTTTTCCAGAGAACTTTCTTTCTTTGGATGCAGTCTCAACGCACTTACTTTTCAAGCGGATTTTGGCTTTCTTCGCTGAATTCTTTGAGAACAGCTTTACTGTACAGTGACCGTGACATTCCGTCGTTTCCAAGACCTTCCAAGACATGTACCAGCACATGTAAAGCAGCGTGAGCTGGTTAGATTTTGCCTTCTCGAAGAGAGAGGTTTCTCTCAATTGAAGAACGAATGAATCAGCACCCGCAGAAGCGCTGAACGACAACAAACAATCTTCCCATAGATCCTCCGTAATGCTTTGCAAGATGAGATTTTCGGTTTATCTTATTGCTCTTTCGTGCCTTATTCAAGGTCCTCACCTGGCTGCTTCGTTTGGCAACTATTGGCGTTCAGCATGTACTACAAGGCAATCATTCTTTACAAGAAGATTCGGTAGTAGTCCATCCATCGAGGAGGTAAGTGGAACTTCCATTTGACTTGATGAAGGTTGACTTTATGAGGATAAAGACAGTACCGTTACCAGGAATAAAATGACTTTACTTGTTTCTTTACCAAATCATACATAGCTCTCCAAGGATCCCTTCATGAAGCAAGTGTCTCATGCCGAGGCACTCGTGGCGGCATTGGTAGAGAGAGAAAAGGAGGATGACAAGGAATTGGAACAATTACTGATTTCCCAATTGTCGCATTCCGATGGTATTCGAGGTTTTTTTGTCACGTACTTGACGGGCGAAACGTCTCCTGCCGATAACCCCACAGTCCCAATTCCGCTCCAAAAGGCCATGTCACAAGTCAGTCCGGAAGAATTGGTCCCTCTGGCCTGCATGAACGTAGTCATGCCAACGGGAACGATGAGCATGCATCAAGATCCGACTCTGTCAGAGCAATCCAAAAAGACATCCGTACGAGGGTCACGGATTCTAGCGTCGCTACTGAATGGGGGTAGTCCAAGAGTGAAGGACAACTGCCAAGCTATACTGGCAGTAGCCACTGACAAGGATGAATCAGAGGCGGACCCAGAGTTGATCAAGGTGAGTTGGTGGTTCTTTCAATATTATGCAATAAGGCGTTGTGGCTGCACAATTCGCTCTTGCTTTCTCCGTGGACTTTTGCCTGAACCTTTCAGCTCTCTCATGCACAATTTCCAAATCTATGCTTCATACATACATGTAGTACTGGACAGCTTTCTTCGAGAAATGGGGCTACAAGGAACCTCAGAGGAAAGACATTGCACTGGCCATCACCGAAATCTTGGAGGAGTGAAAAGAATAGAAGCAAACTTTCACTAGCTTTTTGAATTGTGCCATGATAGCAAAGTCCGCCCAGCAGGTCAGCAGGACTGGATCGATGCAGCCTTTGAACAATAAAAGGATTCCTTGTGTTACTTTTTAAAACAGTGGCACCTGAACCATTTTGATCAAGTTTTACTAGCGACTGTACGACTGTAGCTACTGGCTAGATCTCGCTAGCTAGACTAGTCTAGTAACTCCCTACTGGTCGAGTCAATCAGTCAAGTCTCGAGGATCTTTGGCAAAGTCATGATGTCTGCCGTCTTGCGCGACCACACGCAAGATCCACGCGAAAGATCTTGTGAACACTGCTCCCACAAAATCACGCCGATACATAACCCAACTTTCTCATCGTTGACAACAACCATTCTACTTGGGTAGACTATACTGTACTTCTACTCCCTCCAATCTCCATGACCCTTCACTGCATCCAACGCGTCAACCTTGCCTTTCTTATTATCGCTGTTGTTTCCACCAGTATTCTGCCAAGCCAAGCCGAGATTGTGGAACTGGATGTTGCCAATTTCGAGACCACTTTGACGCGGCAACCATGGACATGTGTGTTGTTTTATGATGGCCACGATGACAGGAGCAGTGCGGAAGGTGACGAGCTTTTGAACAGCTTGGATGCAGAAGCTGCTGGTCGATATGCCTTGGCTCGTTTGGATATCTGTCGGCACAGCTATTACCGTCGAGCGTATACCGACGATGACGACGAAGACGAGCCATTTTTGGAGGCATATTACACAGACTTTCCTGATAATCCCAGCACTTTGATGGACTCGATGACGACTCTGAGCCCGTCATCACTGCTCAAGTTTGTCGACGTGTTTTGGGAGAACAAACTGGTTTTGATGGGCAATGATTTCAACATCTACGCCGAGATGCCGTTGAACACGGGAACTGCCAGTCTGGAACATCTGGTTGGCAATGCAACACGCTGGTTGGGTCAACGCACACATTTACTTCCAGTCAATAGTACTAGTCTTATTACAGCACCAAGGCAGCTACAAGACAATCAACGCAAGGAGGCTCTGCTGGATGACAAAAACAACCCGCAAAAGAACGACTTTGATTTCACAAGCTATCAAGCTGAGGAAGAAGAATACAGGGAGAGTTTAGAAGACGACGAAGATTTTGTGTTGCAAACGGGCAGTGAATCTTCTAGTGATAAGTCATTCTTCAAGTACCAGCGGAAAACATTGAATGTTGCCCTCAAGGCACAAGACTATTTGCAACAACTGAGTCAAATTATTTGCATCTACCTAATGTGGACAGAGTCCTATGAAATTCTTTGGGATGAGGACCGTAAGGCACGAGAAGATACGCAGACCAATTACGGGGGGCACTTGGAGCGACTTCATAAGGATGTCACAGAGTTGATTGAATCAGTGTTTGGTACTGATGAGCAGGGCGGGAAGAAAAATTCTACCAGCACAGAAGCCAAGCAACAATCTTCGCGCACAGAGGTACCGCCCCTCAAAGCGTATCTTGAAGAGTTTGTGCTCGGCTATGGCCGATCCCCAACAGCTCTGAAGGAGTATATTGAAACTGAACTGGTCGCCAAGTTTAGAGAAACTGCAGCTGGCCGTCGAAACCAACGCAAAGAAACAACAATCGAGTTTGCTTTGGCCAGACACTTGAAAGATTACATGTCATTGTGGATTGACACCGATAAGAACAACCGACGCTACACCACGACCTTGGCCAAGCTCGTTCAAAATTGGCACAACTTGCTGGTGGACTTTCACGCTTCCCTTCACAAATCTTTCGAGCTCTACTTGAAAGCTCAAAAGTCCATTCAATCCACCGATTTCCCAAGGGCATCCCTACCTGTATTGGATATCACTGATCCCGACAATACCGCCTTGTTGTCCAACTACACGGCATTTCATGAACAATACACTCAGACTGCTACACCTGTGGTACTATCCAACGTGCAGATGTTCACGGGTGACAAGGCGTGGACTTTCGATGAGATCGTCAAGGCTTGTGGAAAGGTAGATGTGACTCTTGATCTCCAAACCGTCTTGCCTGTAGGCCAACCTTCCAACAAGGAGTGGGGAGGTTTGGGGGAATACCTCCTGGATTTCTCCCTGGTACTACCTCACAGGAGGATCGAGGAGGACGAAGAAGAGGACGAGGACGAATCTGGCAAAGTCCTGGATGACGACGAAGAAGATGATTTCTATAACTACGATGAGAGTATCAACCTGGAACAATTCTCCATACTCTCATTCCTGGTGAAGAACCTATACCTGTTTGATTGGAATCTTCTGGGTAAATGTGACAACATTCTTTACAACCGGACCTTGTACGAGACAACTCCTTCCTTTCAGATCCCAACGGTGTTTGGGGCCTTTGACTTGATGCAACGGGTGACAGTACATCAGTTTGCAGACTACTGGCCTGCTCTGTTTGCCGGTACTCCTGGTACCCATACAAAATTGCATACGGACCCAAAATCCATGGGCTTCTTCCTTTGGCTGCAGTCCGGGCGAAAACGGTGGACCGTTTTTCACCCGTCCGAGCGGCCATACTTGTACCCTCGCTTCTACACGGATTCGTACGTTCCAGACGTCCTGGGAATGGATAGAGTTACGAAATCCGGATTGCGTGCCAACAAGTACTTGTCAAAGCGCTTCCCACTTTTGCATCGGACCGAGCAAGTTTACGAATTCATTCAAGAGCCCGGGCAACTGGTGTACATTCCGCCTAACTGCCCATATGCCGAGGACAACATCGACGAAGATGGCCTGACTGTAGGCATTGCAATGAACATTGTACCTCATGAGGTAGCCTATGGTGCACACCTGTACGACCAAATCCACCGGTATAGGGAGTTTGGGTCAGTGGAATTGGCACTCAAGTACAAGCTATTTGAGGACAGTGCGGACGAACCGAGCACACGGGTACGCGACGATGGACTTTACATGACCTTGGCGGAGTTCAAGGCACAATAACCCAATGGCAGTAGCTATGGCAGTCTAGCTAGATACCGTCAACCGAAGTCAAATAGTAATAATACCCAGTACTGGTAGCAGGGCCACCCAGCTACTGGCGCCCACAGATGCATTTAGGGGATCCACTCGTACCGGTAGAGTGCAGGACTACTGAGACTAGCTAGTAGCTACCGGTAGAGAGCTGGAGTGGGTTGCCCCGCGGCAAGGCCGGATGGAAAGATGAAAGATCTTAGCCAAAGAGCCAGTCGCCACATAATACCGGTATAATACAGCAGCAAGCAGTATGTTTTTGTATTTAATTTTTGGGGCAAGCTAGGGGAGCTGTTCTCACAGGCTCACATGAGGATCACCGGAGAAGCCCAAAGTACAGTCTCTGGACTCTTGATGCCCGCTTTCAGAGGCACCTTTTGAAAATTGGACGGGGGCATATCAATTAATTCTAATCGACGACTTTTCTCCCTTTCCCTTTCCCCTCTTCCTTAACGTTGTGGAGCAGCTCGGTTCACCAGACTCAATGTCTTCAACTTTTGCATGCAAGGCAAGAAGGCAAGGCGCATGTCCCATTGCTTCCTTGGTTCATTGGTTCCCATTCGTTCCCCATGCCCCTTTCCAGTGACCTGTACCGGTAATACCTAGCTTGAATTGCCGTAGATAGATCCACAAAAGAGACATGGAAAGACAATTGTACAAGCGTTCTGTCTGGTAAACTTAAACCAGGCTAAACCAGGCATGTTTCCCTTTTCCCTGGGACCTTTTAAAAAGTTTTGTGCAAGCGAAGTGGATTGACCCATTCTAGCTAGCTATTTGTTGCAATGAAATCATTCGGTAGACTACCTTCTATCAGATGTCTATCTGGCAAAAGTTCCGCCCGGCTCAATACGTCTGGTGATATCTTCTGATGGAGATCGCTCTGAGATTTTGGCAGAAAATTGTAGCTGAAGAGACTCAAATTCCATCAACTCGCTCAAAGCTTTTGGTTCCCAACACAGCTTTTCAGATTTAGATAGAGCTGAAGCAGTAATGAGGAGGACTAGCTAGTAGACTACCGGTACATGCATGAGGTCCACATGCACCCAGAGGTAGCGTTGTTCCCGCCCCTTCCCAAGCCTTCTCCCCAATCTGGAAGGTGGATCAAAACTAACTGTCTATTGAGGTGGCTTCTCAACAGCTCCGAGTACTCCGAGTGGCCTGGGAACTACTGGTAGCAACATGTTCACAAAACAGTGTCAATCCGTACCATTCATCTCCGAATGAATCGATTCGCCCGAAAGCGGAAGCCTTATACTCGAGAAGTAACTCGGAAAGAAATCCTCTTTGATCTTCTTGCAAAATAATTGTGCGAGTGAAGCTTTAGTGTACATCGTACATTCCAACCCCGCCAGAAACTAGTCAGCGAAGCATGCAGCTGCACTTACAGCAGCTCTAAGCTCTTACGGTACCGGTACAATGAGCAAGTGGCATGAAGAGTCCAGCTGCCCAATGTCGATCTTGTAAGCAACACTACGAGCAGTTAGGACTTAACGTCATGATGAGATTTATCCTTGCTATTTAAGCCTACTAGCTGTAGACATCGAGCAGGACAACATGGGGGCACAAGAGCTAACGAGCTTGTTAACGTCAGCGACGATGAAGGAACAAACTGCGTTGCCTCACCTTTTGCCTTTGAGGTTTTTGGCTAATGGGATATCGACCACTTTTGTCGTGTAAAAAAGGGCAAGTTTTTTTGGTTACCGGCAACCACAAATCACACGATAGCCCACGGGCCCATTGTTATATCATAGCTTTCACCTTGCTTGTGGTTGGTTGCCAAAGACTACAGCGATTGCTGGGGCTCCAGCTAGAAGGGTTGAAAGGAGCATTCATCGACTGAGCTATCAACCATCAATCCCAAACAGGGTACTTGCAACAAACCATCGCCATTCAAAGACCATCCATCACTCACGTGACGTGCACTTCTCTCCATTGGAATAAATAGTAGCAAAAAAAGAGCACGACCATGATGATGAGGAGCAACTTTACACCAGGAATTCGAGATCTTGCGTCTCGTCTTACCGCAATGAGAGCTCGCGGTAGCGGAAGCAGTTGTGATGACAGTGCGGACGATTCGACCACAGCGGCCGAGCCGCCGTCCCTCTATGCTCTCATGGAAGAGACAGTGTCGATCGATGAGCGTCCCTTCTTGTTGTCTCAACGACGACTGCATCAGCAAACTGTACGATTGGATCAAAAATCCATTCGGGTGGGACAGTTGCTGCGGGAAAACGGGGACTTTGCACAGACGTATGAAGTGGCATCCTGTGCTCGGTTGGCCATTGGTACTACAAGTACGGACTACTTTGGGAACAACAACGATATGAGCTGCAGTGAGCACGAACCCATGGGATCTCAAAGCGAACGACTCGACTCTAGCCGCAGAATCTCTCTGGGAGATCGATTCCGTCGACGTCGTGTCAGCAACGCCGAATGCAGTGAATGGGGAGGTGACGACTCGTTTTCTTGTCGTAACAACAACTTGGCGTCGTGTCGATACACAATCAAGCGTCTTCGACGACGAGAGGAAGAAGACTACACTACTAGTAGTAGTAGCCAGCAAGATCCATTCTGGGCCTCACGAAAGCTCTTGGTGGAAGCGCTCTACTTGTCCGTGTTGGATCATCCTGGTATTCTCAAACTTCAGGCATTTTCCAATCCTACCAGTACTTGCGACCAGATCTTTGTCGTCACGGATCGAATTGAGGAAACTCTGGAAGACCGCATGTTGCTATGGCGACGTCTTCGGCGAGAACGAGAAGAGGCAGAGGACAAACACTATCGCAAGGAGAAAAAGCGCATGGAGCGAATCAACAACCAACGAACCAGACGACGCAGTTGTGACACGCCCAAGCAACAACGCAAACGACAGGAAAATGTATTCCTGCTGGAAACTCCCACTCCGTTCCAACAAGAAGTCAAATCGCTGTACCCGGAGGATCTCGTGGCACTCAAAACCAACTATGCCTTGCAGATTGCGGAAGCGCTAGAGTATCTTCATGCCCGTGGAATTGTCGTTTGTGACCTTCGTCCGGACACGATTGGATTCAAGGGATATCCGCATCATCACACGGTGCAAATCATGGACTTGTCTTCTGCCAAGGAACTTCCCATGGATGCCGGTACAGAAGCGACACCATCCTTGCCCGCCACGGAAATCCCGCAAAGTATCGAAACTGTGCCAGACCTCACAGACTCCAGTAACTCCATGGACGATTCCAGTTGGATGGGCTACAGTGCTTGGAGTACCGTCTACACGGCAATGCCTTTCAAACGCAATCTGACTCCACCAGCACCGTTCAGGCGCAATCTGACTCCGCCAGCACCGTCGCGGCCCCGACTATCGCTCTCGCCCTTGCCCGCCACCGACAACTCTTCCGGCACATCCGCCAGTTCCCTCAATTCCTCCTCCACTTGGTCTGTGTTGGATACAGATGGCAACTCAAGCCACACGGGTGCAAACTTTCAACGCCGACGAAAGGGAAACAACATCACGGGAATCTCACCCTCCTTCAAAACCCGGAGATGTTACCGCGCTCCCGAACTTTACGTGGATGTCAACGATCCTGCTGCCAGCAATCGGTTCAACCATAAGGTTGATTCATACAGCCTTGCAATGATCTTTTATGAATTGGTAAGTAATTGGCTTTTGCAAACGGGTACCGTCTCCATGAATTTCACCATTCCCCCCAATCTCACTCTTGTTTCCTTTGTCGTCAAAACAGCTCGCGGATCGTCGACCCTTCCCACCCAATGCAGCCATGACCGACCAGGATCACCTGCAACGCGTTCGCGGGCAACAGTTGCGCCCTTCCTTGCGCCAATGCTACTTTCCATTGACCATTCAGGAAATCCTGCAACAGGCTTGGTTGCCTGCTATTTCACGGCGGTGGGATGCCTCGCAGATTGTCAAGAGTTTGACGCGCGTCTTGCCAGTATTGGAAGGACAGGGATTGCACACCAGCAAGAAGAATGGCGCTCGCATCACAAACACCCGTAGGAGACACAGTACCACAACAAACACTGCCACGGAACCCTTGACACTTCCGCAACGGGCTGCCAAGGTACTGCATTCCAAAGGCGCCAAGGGATGGGAACAGGTGCGCAAGACAGGACCTGTAAGGAGCAGTTAGCTACCGGTAGAGGAGTAGAAAAGAAACACACCAGTGTCGGGCTTCCAAGCATTATGATGGTTTCTGTCTGCATACCACTGCTGCATGATCTCTCACTATCTATAATCTATAATAATGAATTTCATTAATGGGAACTTTACGCTTGTCGCGCAGTACCTGTAGCTTGTGCGGTATCTTTCCTTGCGATGCAGGAAGCCATTCATGTCTCTAATAAATCAAGGAATAGTACCAAGCCAGCTACATCACAGACGTCGATGGCAGGAGCGTCCAGGCAAGATAAATCCCAAAGACCAGTAACACGGGTTGGAACAAGAATTGCAACAGCACATCCGTACCATTGCTTTTGTCGCCACTGTAAATGGCCGCGAAGCCACGGACGCCAATACTGCCTCCTACTAAAATGAAGAATGCTGGCAGCAAGACAATGCTCGTGGGATTGGGGACGACTCCGCCGGTATGGCCCCGCTTCCAAAAGGAGTCGAAGTGGGTGGGTCGTCGGATGTCGGAACCTGTAAGTGATACTGCAGTGTTGACGAAAAACGTCGTCAAGTTTTGGTGTTGACGAGGAACACACTGACTCAGTGTCAACCTGCGTTTTATCATATTAATTACTTGCCATTCATACTGCAGTCAGTCGCATGGTCCCCACCATGGGATGCGTCTATGCTGCCTGGCCAGCAGGAATCCCACCTCACCATTGAGGCTGCACCGCCACCGTGGGAACAGATATTGGCCCCAAGGCAAGCATCCAATGCGCCAAGACCATGGCAGCTACGATTGTCTCACAGACAGAAAGCTTGTCAAGGAGTTCCAGGCTGAGTTTGAAGCTCGCATGGCCAAGGATCCCTTTGTGAGTCTCTGCGATTCCAACAAGAGCCCTGCCGGAGCTTTGGACGCGAAAGAACGCCACGTGTACGAGTGCTGCATTCACTCTGCCATGGAGTCCTTTGGCATTGCAGAAGGACCTCACGCTCATTAGGTGAGATATCCGAAGCAGTACAGTATCTATTCTTCTGCTTTGTTTGTTGGGCGCATACTCTACTCACCGCCAGTACGGTATGCATAGAGGAGCACAGCTTGCATTCCCCGTATGGTAGGATCGAAGGGTTTTGGTGTTGGCTGGCTCCGCAAAACCTCTCCCTAAATGGGGACTTGAAATAAGCCCAGTTCCTGCTGTAGCTCTGCATTTGGATGCTTGTTACAATTGGGCTACGGCATTCGTAATGAAAAGTTTAGTTTTATGATGGTGTCCTACGAATCTAGACTCATGCGTTCGTTTGTTTGTTTGGATGGATAGATGGAATCTTCCATTTGTTAAAAAATAGAAAGGTGGCTCGGCGTCACAGTGTTGCTTCACTACAGCGAATGCATCAAAATCGCAATTACTGCTGAAAATCTTTGGTTAGTTCGACGCAAAGATCAAACAATCGGATGCCGTCCTCCTCGACATTGACATTTCCAACGAGTTTGTTGACTGGCTCGCAATCTTCGTAGTACGCTCCATTTTGGACCAATGCAGCTGTGGCACATGTGACTGTTGTAGCTGCTCCCTGTTCCGCGGTCTTTTTGGAGAGAATGCCAACCCACCCCATCAACGTCGTGGCGCCCTTGACGTAGGATGGGACATGGCGGCCCAAGTTGGTATCCGCCATTCCGGGATGGAGTGCCACGGTCTCCAATTTGACGGCTTCGTTGCCATTATCGCGCTTTGCAAATTCCTTGGCCAGGAGAATATTTCCCAACTTGGATTGTTGATAGGCGAAATTGGCGTCGTATTCTGGATCATCTGCCTTGAAGTTTTGAAACCAATCAAAGTCAAAGCGCTTTCCTCCAGCTTCGTAGCTCTTACTGGACACCCAGACTTGACGACTGGTAATACTCAACAGGGAAAGCGCCAAAAGAAAGTGCCCCACGACATTGACACCAACTTGCTGTTCTAGATTCTGCTTGGTGACTCCCGCTGGGCACATCATCACGCCAGCATTCAAAATGACGCAATCCAGCTTGGTGTATTTTTCCTTGACGTACGCCGCAAATGCCTTTACTTGCTCCAAGTCGGCCAAATCGCAAGGAGGTCCAACGGCATCCACCAATGCCATGTCGTATTCTTCCGCTTCCAACTGACTCACAAAGGACTTCATGGTCTCTTCGTTGCGACCCGCCAAAATCACTTGGCCCTTGACCTTCAACAATGCTTTGGTGGTCTCCATGCCCAGGCCACCGTATGCCCCAGTAATCAAAAAGACCTTGCCGGATTGGTCGCCATTGGCTTCCGCGGCTTGCAGAGCCGTGCGTTCAAAACCTTCCTTGTTGGGCATGGTGGATTATTTATTGTGGATCGGAATGCTTTTGGTGATAATGGAAACTCTGGCTCTTTGTCTCTCTAGATCTTGTAAACGCAACAGGCAACAAGCGATTGCGGGGGTGCAAAAAATGGAGCGCAAAAGATCCGTTGAAAAAGGAATTTGATTGACCTTGAGACATGGTACGTTAACTCTATCGTTAAAATTAAAAGTGAGAAATGACGTGTTTTTCCCAAGAACAAGGCTGATGCCCTCAACTGTCAAAAAGAGATTTGATTGGTCAAATCATTTACCGTGTTCAACTGGACACACTATTGATAGCAAGTCTCTTTAGCCAGCCAGTACGGGCACAGTGATATCGGTACCCATGGGTCCAGAGTACTGTGTCCAACAGAACACACAATATAAACCCCTATCCTTAACAAGGAAAATGTCCCTTATGTCTTTGGCAAAACCTCCACCGTGTTTATCTGGACAACACTAGCGAGTCTGCATAGCCAGCCAGTACTGGTACCCATGCGTAGAAACTACTGTGTCCAACAGAAACCACCCAAGAATATGATCCCTACCTCCTTAAACACGCTCAAGCCGACGACACAGCTGAAC